GAATTTGTTAATTATTATCAAATCTTTATTAAGAACTTTTTTTAAATTACAGCTCCACTTACACATTTGACCCGTAAAGACAAACTTAAGTAGAATAAAGAAACTAAAGAGGTATTTAAAGCTTTGAAGATAACTTTTATTTCTACACCAATCTTGTATTGCATCAACTTCTCCAAGGTGTTTTTTATAGAAATAAATGTATCAAACTTTTTCTTAAATGTGATGTTGTCACAAATAGAAGAAAATGAAAAATTCCATGCAATAGCTCCTCATTCTAATAAATTTTTAATAGTAATGATCAACTATAAGATCTACAACAAAAAGCTTCATACAATTATGGATTCATTTCAAGAATGGTGTCATTATCTAAAAAGTGCTTCCAATTCAATATATATATATATATATATATATATATATATATATATATCTTAAAAGAATCTCAAGTATTTCATGTCAGCATGTATTTTGAATTATTACCAAATCTGTTAGAGCATGTTTTATTAAGATTTGATTTCAAGATCATATATTGGCTATGAAACCAACAAAGTTTATTAGACGCTCTTTGTACATGTTCTTATCTTGCACCAAAAGAAAGAGATGTAGCTTTTAATTATTAAAGAATAATATTCTTAAAGCTATAGCAATTTTATCTTTGAGCAACGAAATCAAAATTGATTGTTGATTCAACATTTCTTAAATAAGTTCAATTGAATATATTCTTTGACTTTCTTGTTCAAGATATTAAGAATAATTCATTTAAATTTTATAATAATTCTAAATTTAAGTTTAAAAATAATCTATCAAATTTCAAGAGGTGTTTATATATCTTAGAAGATGAAGCATAATTGAGTATTCTTCAAGCTCATCACAACTTCTCAATTATACAATATTTTAAATACAACAAGATATTTAAATTAATCTCAATAGATTTTTAATGGCCTCAAATACAAAAAGAAATCAAAGACTTTGTTAAATCATGTGACATTTTCTTAAAATTAAAAACTTCTTCTCATCAACTTTATGGACTTCTCATCAACTTTATGGAATTTTTAGAAACAATCTCAATTCTATTTGGGAAATGAGATATGATTACTTTGTTATATTATCAAGAGTAGTCACTTTTGTGAAAAATTAAATTATCATGACTTTAATCATTTTTTATTTATAAAAAATTAATCAAATTATATATCAATTACATCTACTAACATCTATAAAGATCTATCATGTATTCTATGTATCTCTCTTTGAATCTTGTAAGATAAAAAATATTCCAAAAAAAATAAAAATACCACTTCTTTAATTAAAAATAGATAAAAATTAAGAATTTGAAGTAAAAGAAGTCTTATACTTAAAACAATGCCAATTTAGATTAGAATATTTTGTTTATTTATACAGATATGATATTAATGAATATATATAGAAGCCAATTAAGAATTTTGTAAATATAGTAGAAAAGGTCAAAGCTTTTCATCAACAACATCCATTAAAACCAAGATAAAGAGTCAAGCAATTACTTGCTATGAAAGAAAGGCTATTCAATTCCATCCCATCTTCTATCTTTAATTGTAATTTCTTTGTATTTGTAGTGCTAAAAAAATGGAGAATTAACAACTAGCAAATTTAATTCAAAAGCTATTATTTATTGAGTTAGCAAATAAGCTATTGTTATTGTTATAGCCCTCAAAATGACATAATAGAGATGAAGGCTTTGAAGAACAACATGTTTTTCCTCAAATAGATCACAAGATACAACGGATTTGGTATTACAATATTAGAAGAGACTCTTGATGTTTGATAATATTATTAGAAATAAGAACAATTCCTAATGGTATTACAAATGTTTTATTTAAATTTACTTATAAAAGCCTTAAAAATAATCAAATATTGTGATAGTATTTATGTTCTAGTATGAGACACTATCAATGGCTAAGAGAACCTATCAACTAACTTTAAAAGAAGCAAAGATCAACATATGTAGCAGATACAATTTGATTCATCTTCGACTTCTTTAACATGTGATTACTTTTCTTTGTGGAACTTGCCCTTAGAAAAGATGATATCATTATACACATCTATATTTATTTTAATAATTACTTAGATAATAAGAATAAGTAAAAATAGATAAAAATATATAAATTTGATAATATCTTATAGAAAAGCTTCTTATAAGTTTCATAGATATAACTTTTTCTTTATATGTGTCTATAGGTAATTGATAGGTTAAAAACTTGGCTAATAAATTGGCCAGCTATTACATATGTTGGTGACTTGTAATAAAGTTGGACATGTGGCATATATATAAGAAGCTTGTTTTGCAAGTTAGATACATGTTTTGCAAATTAGACACGCGTTAGAGGTTCTATACAATGTTGCCATGTAGCTTCTAATTAGATAATGTATATAGAGGCAAAAGTGAAGTCATTATCACTTTTGCCAATTTATTTTTTGCTTCTAGTCTAGTTTCAAGGGTCTCTAATTTTTTGGCTTTTAACAATAGCCATTCCAATTTCTTCTTAAATATACATTTTTTTTTCTTTTATCATCTTTTTTCAAGAAATTTTTCACTTGTTTATTTATATTCATCAAGTTCTTGTCTTTGACACTTTTAAAGGAAAAAAAGATCAAAACATTCGACAAATATAACTCATTGCAACTTGGACTTCCTCAACATGTGATTATTATTCTTTATGGAATTTGTTTCTAGAAGGTGGAATAATGTCATAGACATAAATAATATTGGTAAATACCTAAATAGAAAGAGTTAGGTAGAAATAAATAAAAGTATATAAATGATATAATATCTTGAGAAGCTTTTGAAAAGCTTTAAAGATGTAAATTAAATTACATATGAATATATAAGAAATTGGTAGGATAAAAAAGTTAGCTACATACCATACATATTAGCAACTTATGGTACTAGTTATGTGGCTTACATGTAAGAAACTTCTCTTACAAGTTAGACTATCAAAGACAAGAACTTCAAGAATACAAATAAACAAGTGAGATGTATATCAAAGAAAGATGACAAATATATATATATATATAAGAAGAAATTAGAATAGTTATTGCCAAAAGATAAGAAAACTAGAGTTTTTTAAAACTAGACTAGAAGCAAAAAAGAAGTTGACAAGAATGAGAAAGGCCTCACTTTTGCCTTTATATATACACAATTTAATGAAGAGCTACATAGCCATGTTATGTAGGTCCTCCAACACATGTCCAACTTACAAGACAAGTTTTCTATATGTACACCACATATCCAACTTGTATCACAAATCATTAATATATGTGGCCAACTTGTTGGCAAAATTTTCAACCTATTAATTACCTATAAATACATATAAAGGCAAAGCAACATCTATAAAGCTTTTAAGAAGGTTTTCTATAAGAAATTATCAAATTTATCTATTTTTACATATTTCTACCTATTTATGTTATTTGACTTATTATTGGGATAAAAATAGATGTCTATGATATAGACATGTATCATACAAATTAAAAAACACATATCAAAAATCCTATAAAACATCAATATGTAGTTCCTATATATAATATATATATAGAGGTAAGAGTGAGACCATCTTCATTCTTGCCAAGTCTTTTCTTGCTTCTAGTCTAGTTTCAAGAGCTTATAGCTCTCTTGTCTTTAGCAATAACCATTCCAATTTGTTTATATACATATATATATATATATATATATATATATATACTTTCTTATTCCTTTTATGTCATCTTTATTAGGACACATCTCACATCTTTATTTTCATTCTTCAAGTTCTTACCCTTGACAAAATATAATTCTAACAATGTTAATTACATCAATTTCATATATAAAAAATTCTATTTATAATAAATCTATTAATTTTAACCTTTGAGTGTTTACAAGTCTATCTTCCTTGATTCTTTGTAATCCTATCAATCTTTTTATAATCTTGCAAAAAAAAAACAAAAACAAAAACAAAAAAAAAATCCAATTAACATCAATCTTTAATTTTTTCCAAATGTATACTTTTTTTTCATACTAATCATTTTTTGTTGTCTAGTTTAGTTTTTCTTTTTCTTTTTTTATCTTTCGTGAAACTTTACTTGCAAAATTCAACCAGCGGCATTCACATCCGGGGCTCACCGCTCTTACCTACATCTCTAAAAATTCCAGAGCCATTCCTCAGTCCTCGCCTACCACCTGCTCAGTCTTCTGATCCACCCGTCTAACTCCAATCTTGCGCCAACACAGAGACAACAAAAACAAACGAAAAAACAAAACCTAAAACAGAATTTCACAGCGGCGCCGCCGCTCTCCTCTTCTTCTTGCTAGATGTGCTACCTCTCCCCTACTCATCAAAAAGTCGGTTGTTGAATAAATTCTCTGACGCTGCTGCAGCTGTGGATGCTGAAACACCCCAACTGTATCCGCTCCTGATCTCGTCCCCCGCTCTCAGCGATCATGAATACCCCTCTCCCACAGACCTCGTTGTCGTGCATAGTGTGTTCTCTGAAGCACCCGCATCACATCGCCCTTCTTTTCTTCACACTAGTGCCCCCAACCTCTCCTATTATCTTCTCTGACAACCGTGGGACACTTGGTGAGGAGTTGGTCGTGACCGTCCAAACTTTGCAACCTGCATCTGCCAGATGGTGCGACGCTAGGGTCTTCCGACATCATGCTTCTCTTGATGTTATGAAGACGCTGTTGGCGTGCATCTTGGTGGCCACCTGGACGCATAGTCATTCTGAATCTCTGCCAACCGTCCGCATCCGACTAGATGCCTAATGGTTTCACTGGCAACGGCCCGCGGTAAAGCCTCGAGGTTCTCAATACTTGATAAGGGGGAGAACGGACCCAAGCGAAAGAAGGAAACCAGAAAACAAACAAAAAAATAGAGAAAAAGTCTCTTTTTCAAGGCCACGACCTTTTGGCTTTATTTAAGTAAATTTCTATGCAGGTTCAAGTTAGTCCAACCTGCTTAAAAATGTTCGTTGCAGTGGCATTACCGGATGGAGAATCTATGTGTTGGCTTCTGACCTCCATTGTGCCTGTCAGGGGTTGCATGGGAAACCACACATTTGTCGCATGGAGTATCATCCTATCTGCAAACTCTCGGCAATTCGCGGCGGGATTGGCCAAGCAAGTTTGAAACTGATCCGTAGTAATGGATAATCCTTGTAGATGGATCCATTTCTTGAGTATTATTGTGGGTTTTTTGTCATTCTTTTCCTGTGAGTCGTCTTCATCCGATGACGCGGTATCAAGATTAAAAGCTTACTTGAGAATTGACACATCGCACCCAAATCCAAATTACGGACCAGTGACGGAGTTTCTCGTTTCACAAGCTACTGAGTTAGGTCTGCAAGTCCAGAAGCTGGAAATTGTGAAGGAGAAGCCCATAGTGTTGATAACTTGGGCAGGGTTGAACACATCACTTACTTCACTGTTGCTGAACTCTCATACAGACGTGGTTCCTGCTGAGGAGTTGAAATGGAAGTACGATCCACTCTTGGCGTTCGAGGTTAGTCATTTTGAACTTCTCATCACTGATGTTATCTGAGTTGTCTCTTACTTATCTGAATTTGCAAGAAATTATCAGTTTTACGCTTACATGCAATTGTTGCTTCTGTTTTAGGATGGGAAGGGCAACATCTATGGAAGGGGAGCCCAAGACATGAAGAGTGTTGGCGTACAGTACCTGGAAGCCATTCGTGTCTTAAAGTCTTCCGGTTACCAGCCCACGCGTTCTGTGCATCTTTCCTATGTCCCTGATGAAGAGATTGGGGGCGAAGAGGGGATGGCTAAACTTGTCTCATCCTCTGAGTTTCAGCAGCTCAATGTCGGCATCTGCTTAGACGAAGGACTGGCATGCGCAGAGGATTACTACCGAGTATTCTTCGGCGAGAGGTCGGTCTGGAAGCTTGTAATCAAAGCAGTTGGTGCACCAGGACATGGCTCCAAGTTGTACGATGGCTGCGCCATGGAGAATCTGCGCGAGAGTTTAACTAGAATTTACGAGTACCGCAAGAGCCAGTTTCTGATGTTGCAAGAAGGCTCGAAAGCAGAGGGGGAAGTTGTGGCTATCAACAATGTCTTCCTCCGAGCAGGCACCCCTATCCCCTCGGTTAGCCTCTTTTTCCATAGTTTGAAACCCCCAACCTTGCCAATTTTTCCTGCACTGCTTGTTTTCATGAATGCGCAGCTCAAGCTATTTCTGCATTCATTTTGACGCATCTCATCCTACTCCGAATCGATCATGAGATATTTGAAGCTCCAAATGCCGATTTAGGGTCTGCGTGACTCTGATAGTGGTTTGGATGTGCCCTGGGATTAGGGTTTTGTGATGAATCTGCAGCCATCCGAAGCTGAGGCAGGGTTCGATGTTCGAGTCCCTCCTCTCGTAGATATTGCGGACCTCGAGACTGAGATCCGAACCAAGTGGGCACCTACATCCCGCAATCTAACTTACACGGCAAGCTTAGATCTCAGACCTTGTTGCTATCTCCCTTTCCAGAATTTTCTCTACTTGTGATATTCCCCCAAGAAATGGTAATGTAGTTTATGGAATGGATTTTGTGTTTCAACGGGAATTATATCGATGCAGAAAGCATCAACAATTACCTCGAATTGCTTGCACAGAAATTGAAGAGTTTCTCTGCAAATGGATGTAAGTTGAATCCTGTTTGCTGCAGTTAACGCGGCTGCAACCACAGCCTTCGGATGGACTTCGATTGCCCACAAGTGCGGATGACATGTATCCATGGTGGGATTTGTTACAAGTCGCTGTGCAGAAAGTAGGCGGTAAGCTGGGAGCTCCAATGATCCGTCCTTCTGCCACCGATTCTCGCTATATTAGAAATGTAAACATTCCGGCGTTTGGTTTCTCGCCCATTTCCAACACGCCCTCTCTTCTCCATGACCACGATGAGGTTTGCATTCCATCCCCTTTTACGTGAAAGTTGCATTATTGGGCAAGTGGTGGTTGTGTCGCTTTGGAGAGGAATATAGTATAGTTACTGTTCGCCACGGGTTGTGCGAAGATATTCAAAAAGAATCTTGATCGAATTTTTTGATGATCAATTCTGTTGATTGTTGGATAAATCAGACTCATTTGATATGTATGATTTTTACGTTTGGCTCTCCCAAAAGTAATTGGAAGTACACCTTCTCGTACTTGACACTAAATGGCAATTTCAACTTAACACGGACTGGCGCCCTCATGATGAAACAGACAGTTTCTTCCTCTCTTGCACCTCAGCCTTTCCACGCATTCTGACATGCAGCATCTGTTTTGCGACCATTGAACATCACCTGATGTATCCACTTGTGATTGTGTGCAGTTTTTAAATGCGAAGGAGTATCTTAAGGGCATCAAGGTGTACAGCGAAATCATCAAGGCTTTTTCGAGTCATGTGGACATCACAGACTCTTGACGCTCAGTTGCTTTCACCGATTGGTCCGACCAATCTAGAATCTATATGTAGGTTTATCAGTTTTCATGTTCCTTATACAAATAACAATATAAGAATTATGAAAATAAATTACTGCTGCTTAAGATAATACCTACAGAATATTAGTCACATACCGGTACATTCTGATGTCAATGTGCACTAAAAAAAAGGCTAAGGCCTTCACCAGATAGAGTCACATCCTAAATTTCAATGAAAGAATGCAAATGAACTGATATGCTCCATAAAATATTAGGATTGTACACATGGACATTGTCGTAATGGCCAAAGATTGTGTGATGAACAGTGCCAGGAAGATATTGCAACCTAACTTCTTTACCTGGGTGACGCCTCATGAGAGGTTCTAAATCTGCCTCGATTAAGGTTCTAAGCGAAGCATAAGTCTGGCTTCGGCGGCAGCAGCCGCTGCTCTTGCTGGCGTTAAACTACCCGAGCTGGCCGCAATAGCAGAAGGCTGTACCTGGGCCGAGTTACTTGCAACTCCAGTCTGAATTGAGAACAGAGAACTCAGATCTTTAAGAGTGAGATTGTACACATCGGACTTGCCAGTGGCACCTCCCGGTAAATTCATTGCTTTTTGTCTCCTCAACCCATATATGCTCTCTTCCACGGTGTCGTGAACCTGGAGAATTTTAGTGAATTCCAACAGTCGTCAGGGCTTGAAATGGGTTAAGAGAGTAGCTAGAACTTTACACATGACCCTGACACTGAGAGGAAAACTGAAAATGCACCATTAATCCCGCGTCGAAATTGAACTCAGAAACCCTTGCTGGAGCATCCTGAAGACCCATGAATTCGGTAATAAGTTGAGTTCTCGACATCGTGGGTTTTTCAAACACGAAATCAATTCTCTACCATGAATTGAAAACAGAAACATTATTAATGCAAATCACACTCACAATGAAACGATGGACAAATGTCGCACGTGTCTGGCCAATACGATGCACACGATTAATGGCTTGAGCCTCCATGGCAGGATTGAGAAGCGGTTCCAATAGCATGACATGCTGGGCTTCAACCAAGTTTAGGCCATTTGCCCCATGCCTGATTGGCATAAGAAGCACCTGCACAGGCCCTTGCACCTCATCCACATTTGCTCTTTTTCTTGAACTCCTTTTCTTGCCAACGGTTTCCTCAACACCTCTAAACCTATCAATTGCATCATTTATTTGCCTGAACAAAAAAAAACCGCTAGAGATCAGATGCAAGTAGAAATTTCCTAGTCAATAAATCCGATATCCAAGTCTAAAAAATAAGACATCTTTTTTCAGAACGAAAGCTGGGACAAACACAACCTCCAATGTTTTGATGTGAAAAATATTAAAATCAATGATAGAGTACATCTCTAAAGGTATTTAGCTTTGGTTCCAATGCAAAAGCCCTGTTTATAAACCTTTTAAATTCTAAACAGTGATACATTTTGATACTCGTGATAATTTCACTACGCTTTCCAAAAAAACGTTTTGACAAATTTTGGTATTTGAAAGGGAGCATAAATGTCACATACTATCAACTCCTACAGCATCCTGGCCAGACGATGGACTCAACTCACCTCTTCTTTAACATTATATAATAGAATAGGAGCTGCAAATGAACAGAAACTCACCCTCCACGCTTGACACGAGTAAAGGTGATGTGGTTGGTTTTCAGTGCGTGCTCCACAACGTCAAGCACACCTTGCCATTCTGAGAATAAAAGAACCTTCATATCTGGATCCTCTGACTTCAGCCTTAGTATCCGCCTAAGTACCGCCTCTAACTGCACAGTCATCCTTGCATGAGTTGGGTTGGGTGTCTTTACAATCAGAAGGCCGAAATGTTATTCTAAGATCCAGCATCCGAGGACATGATCATCAAGCCGCTTGCCTCAGCAAGATTTTTTCATTATTTTTCTCAACATAAATGTGCATTAAATCCTTAATTAGTCACCGCTATAAAGCATACAAAAATATTTCTTGAGCTGTACGTATACATTTGACGTCAAACAGCAACACGACGTTAAGTAAGAGGGGCAATTTCAAACCTTAGTTCCGTAAGATCCTTTCACTGACGAGGCAAAATCGACATCTTCTTTTTCTCCTCCCTGAAAGTGAGCTATTGTGGGATCTAACCCCTCCTTTTCATGTGTATTGACAACATAGGCTACTTCAGACACATTTGTGCGGCGTCTACATGAAGGGCAGTTTATCTTTTTCTGTGATTGTGGCAATGTGGACCGCTCGACCAAACTAAGCATACCTGTCATACCACGACCACAATCAACACACGTGCTTGCTCCGAGGCACCAATATATATGATGCATACATACTAAAATTTGTTGCCATAAAAAGAAAAGAAAAAAACAAATATACATACAAAAACAAAATGCCACTCAATCGACTTGTCCTCATTATTCTTAATAACACAGGTATGAACTTTCAAGAGACATTCGCATGGTCTGCTTGAAGTTTATGATGAATTCAAGGACATCATGAAAGAGATGACGGGACACTTACATTTGCAACATAGCACATGACCACAAGGAAGAACCATGAATCGAGATCCCAGAATTTCGTGACATATGGGGCATTCTTCCTCGTTCGATTCAACTGGTTTGCTAACTGAAATGCTTGATTCTGACGGAATCATTGTTTTCGCCGATTCGCCTCGCTCTACTTTCTGTCTTGCTGATTTCACACCCTGCAGCCAATATCTACTCTTCAGCACATAAAATACAGTATATATAATTTGCACAAGGATAAACGTTTCATTTGGACGGCCATGAGGACCAAAAATTAGTCAACTCAAACTGTGCTTCTATTCAAATCATCAGAAAGGACGAGAATCCTTCTCACTTAAACTTACGTTCAAATAACGCAGTTGACCCTTCACTCGATTCAGCTCCTCAAGAGCAGCAAACTTCTCTGCTGTAAGATGAACATTTTGTTGAGGTACTTGTTCAGGATGTAGTACAGAGATATTAGGAATCTTTTCTCCCGGATATCTCAGACGGAGGCGTGTTGTGGCCATGTTTAGCTCGTGTACTTCAAAGAATACTTCTCGCTGGGCTAAAGCTAACACTTTGGCTTGCGCAAATTCTTTCCGCATTGCCTACAGCACGATTAAATTCCAATGAACAACTGCCTGAAGAGCTTGTAAGAGAAAATGAATTGGTCATAAAGGAAAACACACTGATCCAGAAAGTTCACAGAACAATGCAGTATCAGCAAGGATTCAGAGCAAAGTCTGAAAGCTAAAGTGAAACCTACAAGAGACATATATGAAAAATGAAACAAAGAAAAAACAATAAAGTTAACTGATATAGAACATTGAGCATACCTCTAGCAACTGAAGATGCTTCCTAGCTGCTGGTAGCTTATCCCTTCCCACTTGACCTCTCAACGTTGTCAAGATTCGTTCTGTTCCTGATGGCGCTCTTGTCACCTGGTCATCGTTCAGCATAATTAAGCAAAAACAAGCATTAAAGTTTCAGGTACATCCTTAAAGTTTACTTTAGTCTGAGACTTTCCAGAAAAAGAGACTTGTATTCCTTCACTTATTAGTTGAGAGAAACATGTTAACTGGAACAAGGAACATGGATTTCAGTTAACTTAACTGATCGAACACTACAGCTTTGTATGGGGAAAAATATCAGATTGAATGTAGAAAGTAGAACACCGCTGACCTGAGCTGACGTCACGCCTCTATTCCGTGCCCTACGTTCTAAAACTTCCACAGGAGCATCTTTATGGCTTGATTCTCGGCGCTTGAGAGCAAGACTAGCATGCTGTGCAATTAGAGCATCCTCTGCAGACACAGCCACCTCCCCCGTTCCTGTAACCTTTAAAAAAAACAATCTGTTCTCGTATGCCTGCATTTAATACATCCAACAACCACCAAACTAAATATGATAGCCCTCATACAACCACCAGGGTAAGACTCTTGCCACAATTCATGAAGGAAATATTAGTATAATAGCGAGCGTATGTTGGTATTGGCAGAAGTGAATTCAAGACGAAAACACCCACAAGACCGTGACATTCAAAGCTGCAGCGCATCAGCATAACGTTACTACTGAAGTTAAAAGCCTCAGTCAGTCAGACATATCAAAGGATTCCAGGGTCCCAGTACAGCTAAATCGGACAGAAAAACCCGGGATGCGGGTAAAATTGCTCCACCATATCACCTGGAATAGCTCCTCTGCTTCACAGTGAGCACATGCAGGACCCTTCATATCGGGTTGACAACGGGAGCAATTTCCGGCACGTTCAACATCAAATATATCAGGGTTCTCCATCTTAGCACCCAAATCCGTTAACCGTTGTAGTAACTCTTCGCGACCATCTTCCATGGCTTCAAGTTCTCTGAGTAGAACCATTTTCAACCCAGAAACATCTTGAAACCTGGCAACCATCCATTATTAACATGAAAGAAGAGGTAAAAATCAGCACACATGGATTACCAAACTGTAGGCCGTTCCATTACTTGTATGAAGTAATTACGCATTGTAGCAATACGTAGGAGCCATATCTTTAGAATTAAATAAATAAATAAACAGTGAAAATTCAAACCTTCGACGGTCAAAACCCAAGTACCGTTATAGGAAACTTAGCATCAATACTGAGTACATGAAAGTTGTAGTAAGATCTCTCGATTCAACCGTAACCTCTCATTCACCTTAATTTCATTAAAAATGACTAACTAGTACATACCAATCAAATGCGATATCAAATTCTAACCCTCACCTCAAGGCGATACTGGATATGTTGTGATGTTTAACACGTCCCATGTTTCCAGCTTCACCCAAGTGATCGTTTTCAAGTAAGTGATCTCGAACTTTTCTAATAAAATCCTTGCCATTATCAGGTTGCTGTTCCAAGCTACTTAGTACCTCCATCCACCAAGCGCTCCTACCATCACTTAGATCTGCTTTTGCCTCCTGTACCTGTTAGGTTTGGTATATCAAGAAAAAGAGTTTACGAACTTTCTGAGGTCTGAACGTTCAAGTCTTAATCAACTTCATCTAGCCCAGAGAACGATACAGCGTGGGGTAAAAAGATTCAACGTGTCCCTTTAAGAGTGTTCTACAAATCATGCTCCAATTACAGATGCAATACGAAGTATATCCTCATGTAAAAATATCATAAAAACATATGAGTATAAATGGACCGAAGGTGAATCATGGAGAGCTAATATTTCTACAATCAATCTGATGAAAGGATGTGATCGAAACCAGGAAATTATTTCCTTCATTGATTTGGATACTTCCCCTCACTAGCTTAGTCTGAAGCTCTGAAATCCAAGTAATGATGTGGGAAGATAGTCTCATGTATTCACTGAAATTGCATCAAACAGGAAAACCTAATGATCGACTTTACAAAAAACATTTCTCACCGTGAAGAGAATCATACCTGCTTGGTTGCACTTTGAAAGTCTGCTTGCACTGCCGCCAGTTTTGCATAAAATGGAGCGAGGTATTTCGTTTTGATATCCTCGCATTGTTTCAAAAGAAGGTCATCACGTAATGTCCTGGGAACATCAGATCTGATTTTGTTTTCACCAGCTTGTGACCTGCCAGAATTGCTGATTGCAGCATCACTTTCTTTGTGATCAGCTCCTCCTGTTTGAGACTTGACTTCAAGAACCTAAAAAACAACAGTAAAGCCAATTCAGAAAAAACTGAGGCAGTATTAATTGAGAATATCATGTGGAACAGTCACGTCATCTTGCTGCATTATGGAACCTCATTTTACCAATCATCACCAAAACCTCTAAAATCTAAAGCTCAAAGCCAACCCAGAAAGATTTACTTAATTTTGTCATAAACCTAGAGGAGATCACTTGATTGTCATTATTTACATACCTCGGCCAAATTGTAGAGTGTATGCAATTTTTGAAGCGGATCAACACGGATATCTTGTGCATTTTCTTCAGTATATGAAAGGACCTCTCGATAAATAGAGACTGCAAGTGGAATGTTGTTGTCAATAATGGCCAGTCCGGCGAGGCCATTCAGTGCTCCAAACAAAGAGCGCTGAGCATCCTCTGCCTCCAATTTGGCTTTGTCCACCAGAACCTGCGGAATTTATTTCAGTAGAACCATATTAATTGATACATAAAATCACCGACAAGCCCAATCAACATGAACGATGGAAAACTTTTAGGGACGACTTTGCAGGTAACTGCTTTATCTAGTGTGTCCCTTAAGTTATTCATGTCACCATTCCAGAACTACTTGTGTCGAAATATTAAAATGCGGAATATTCCAATTGCCTGATCATAGACAAGTGTTTCCATGATGCTTATCGTAGTTAACTACCAGCTCTGGCACTACAAAAGAAGAAATTCAGATAACGTGATAAATGAATATCCTTCAAATCTTATGGTTGTTCCGAAAAATACAGCGCTATGTACCAGACGTCTAAAAAGAGCCATCAATAAGACAGAAAGAGTAGAAGAAAGAATAGATGAGATAAACCTCCAGAATTTCATCCATCGTCATAGGTGACCTTTGTAGTGAGCGTATGCCAGCACTGCCCACTTGGGGGTGAACACAGGCTTGTCGAAGACAACGAAGTTGGTCCAAAAGTTTCTCTGCTTCTTTGTTTGAGAGAAGTCTATCCTCAAGCTCTTCTGAAGGAGCCTTCATTCCTAAATCTCCATCCTGAACATGCTGCGAATTCCTTGTACTACTTAAATCTGATGCTACATCCGAAGTGACAGAAGTTGGAATTTCGAGACTTGTATGGGTGCCAAATGATTTTCGTGCACGGGATCTTCTCCCATAAGACCGTGTTGATAAATGTTTTCTATAATTGGCAATGACTTCTCGAGCTCTCACAGCACAACGTTCATGCTGTTGCCGATAGAAATGAGCCTCAATAGGTGAGAACCTTAGCCAATCTAACCGCTCATCTTGCGGTGGTAATCCGAGTTCATCAGCTACTTGAGCTTTCGTAGAGCGCCACATCAACCCTCGGAAAAGATCATGCATAGCACGAACGGCGCCATATTTCCCTTCCTGTTGAATTCCAAACGAGATAAGTCTACAAAACCCAAACATAACCTACCCAAACTTATTTACTGAAACATCGTACATCTGTTGGAAATCTGGTAAACTGATGAAGGGATTTATCTATAAAGATTACCTCATGCTAAAAAAATTGACTCCATGATAAGAAATGGTTCACGAACAAATAGAATGTAATGGAGCTTAAAAATAAGACAATATTAGACACTACCCCCAAAGACCAAACTGGAAATGACCTTGTATAGATTTCGTCTATGAAAGACTGTCGAAAAACCAGTACTTGACTACACTTCAGAGTAATAGTTGGATCACCACTATGTCGCTCAAAAGGTCACCAGTTAGACAGTGCCAATACTCATAGAAAACAATATGAAACTAAGATGCTCACTAAGCTCATAGGAGATTGAAATAAGCGAATAGATCGGTATACACATTGCTTCAAGATGAGTCCTGTACCTCATAAGGTTCCTTCAGAACTACCGTCCACCAACGTTTATTATCAAAGGGCTCTGCACGCAGAAAACGCAGCAAACCATACAAATCATCCAAACCACGTTGAATGGGTGTTCCTGTGACACACCAACGATGGGTTGTTCGAAGTGTCATAGCCATCTCTGTCGCTCGTGCTAACACACTTTCAACCATTTGTGCTTCATCCAAGCACAATCTCCACCATTTTAATCTGGTTAGGGCTGTGGGAACGACTGGATACCTGTTAAATTACTAATCGCATTAGCAAGAATCAAAATGCACAATTATTATGTCATCAAATTATCCAGTACACTGACTGAACTTAGCACCATGTATAAGGACTAGCCAACTTTCAGAATACCTTTTAGGTTGACGAAAGGATCGCACAATTTTATGACTTGCAGTTGCTGCATGAGAAACATCAGCCCTGAGTGTGTCGTAAGTTGTGAGTACAAGATCTGCTGTAGCCAGATCATGGGCACCAACTGTTTTGATCTTTTCCACTTTAGAGCTTTCAAGCGAGCCTTTGCCTGACACCACAGTGGCACCTTTCTGCACTCCCTCATACACCAGAACTCTCAAGGTTCCAGGTCTCACGTGCCTTAACAAAAGAAACGAAACAAAGCGGCCCACTTCCAAACTGTTAACCAGAAACAAAGTGGCAGCAACCAACAGAACAAGAGAAGATGAAACTATGAAACAAAATTGATGCAAAACTTCGACGTGCACACAAAACCCCTCCAAAGTATCACCTATACCAACGAAATAAACATATTAACAACAAGGATGACGTCATAAATTAAGAAAGCATAAATTAGAAAGTGATAGTAAGGAATGAAAAAATACCTAGAAATTTCATCCTGCCACTGTCGCAGAATAGGTGTAGGACACACAACCAAAGTAGCTCCACATTCTTCCTCAATCTCCACACGACCAATCATTTCAGCACAAGTGCCGCATATAAAGGTCTCTTCATTACGCTTGGAAACAGAAGAGTCTACATTACTTCTTTGCCCCTCTGATCGGTGCACGTTCCTGCTTCTCTTTCCTTTCCTCTCCCTTGCAGCAATGTTGACAGGCATTCCATTAGCCTCCAGGACCCTCTTTCCTGTTTAAACATCCAACTACGAACATCAGCCACAAAAAAATGCAATACTAATATTTCATTCAATATAGATAAATTCCAGCTTTACAATGAACCGAAGATCTCTATCAAACATGTGATACTCCACAAAAACACCAATGAATCCCCCCCGAGCTCACAAGATGTACTACCAAACAGGTTCGTGATGGGCAACTCTGAATATAAATAACAGTTTTAGAGCAATCTGCTGTTAGATATAAGAAAAGCATATTGAAGGTAAACCCAACTATATACCCAGACGAACTTTCTCGTCCTTCTTCACTTGTTGCGCTTGAGCTGCAATTCGTCTCAAGTTTGCATCGATGTCAGTAGGACAAGCATAACCAACACATAGAGCATGTTGCCATGCATCACAATGATCACATTGCACCCATGAACCATCGTAATATTCATCATCTCGAGTAGCTCCACAACTGCAATCAATGCGTTCACATTTGTACTTCATCAGGGTCTCCCGTGCTCGATTTGCTGACTCCGTCACTTTCAACAATGTTTCCTTGCTAGCTCGATGAGCAAGGATACAAGCCAGTAGCTCTACCGTCTTCCCCAAACCCATCTCATCTGAAATAACACAAAGGTCACGCAACTTCTTGACTCTTAAACTGGCATGATTATGCCACAAAATCCTCAATCACAGACCAACATCGGGCAACAGGATAGAACCTCTACAGGGTGGATAATTCTTTCTTCAAGCCCAAATTAGAGGAACAAGATTCATAAAAGGATCGCTTATGGTGGTTCTCTCTTAATGGCTAACGTATTATTCTTAATGTAAATAGTTTGAGCAAACATAAGGGTTCCCAGTCCCCAAAATCGTTTCCAGCACAATCTTTCACAAGTTATAAAATGCAGACTTAAAAACTTATTAAAAGCAATGACTATGAAGTACAATCTTTAATACCACAAACGTGGTTTACAAGAACTGCATCACTAAGCAGGCTAGAATTAAAGTGTGGTACTGGGTAAAAGTGCATACCAGCAAGTATACCCCCACGAACATCTGTTTGAAAATCGTGAGGATCCATAGAGACATATCCGCTGCGAAAATAACCAAACCGTCGGTACTAAGATGACGTGTTACGCTGACGATCCTTTCATTTCAACACTTCATGTTTAAGCATTCAAACTAATGTAATGATTACAAGTGTATGTCAAGATATATGAGAAGAATAGGGAAGGGAAAGGGGCTGTTAATCATCACCCCACACCCCTAACATTGAAATGTATTTTAGTAATCTAATATGTTTGTTGAAAGCGTTCTCTTAGAATACACAACATTTTTTCTAGACACATATTCAAAACGACAAGAGTTGGCCTTTTGTATGACGCTGCAAACCATCAAAGTTTGAGCTTTCAAGTACCTGTAAGGATTATAGAAGAACTTTGATTGGCCAGTCAGTGAATCAACAGGAACCCACAAAGGATGCTCTACACCTCTTGTGGTTTTCATTCCGCTTGTTGAGGCATTACTCGACTCGTCAAGGTTGTCAATTGCTCCGGAACCCACTTCACGCTGCACCATCCAATATGCTGCACGCCGCTGATATGGTCGGAGCTCAGTAACGAGCTCTGGGAAATCCATGTCCAGCTCTGGTTGGGTCCTACATTGTACGCATCATCAGCTAAACATACACACAAGTAGAATATCTTGTACTCTCGAAATTCATTTCGAACTAATATTCATGAGGAAATTTGGGCAGGAAGGACACATCAATAACACCTAAATTAGAGACAGAAGACCTACACCCTTGAAATGTCCGTCGTTAGTTACCAATCCCATTCTTAGGTGATAGTCACAGCCAAGTCTCCACCACAATTCAGAGCATTGCACAATAAAAAAAATAAAAAACTAAATTAAATACCCGTATCCTCCGGACGAATTGTAAATTACTGAACGAAGACAAGTCTTTACCTGCTCGGCAGTACTGCTTCATAAAGTGCGGTAGGATCAAAACTAGAGTGCTGTTTCTCCCCACCGTTGAACATCGCTTCAACTTTCCGATCGTCCTTCTCACCAGCAATAGTCAACATGTCCGAAATGTGAGTTGGTGAACCATCTAACCCAAACACGCTTATTGATTCAGCACTCAGCTCGGGTCTTAGCCATTCAACCACACTTTGAATCGCTTTACCTAAAGGTTTCCGGTCGCTGTTCCCCAAGTACATAGCACATGAATCGAAAGCCTTTTTGCTGATGGAAATCCCGAACTTACATTTGGAATTTCCTTCATATGGTCTAGCCTCCATATACAACATCGCCTGTCTAATCAAGTACACAAGTCCAGAAACCGCAGAGTCTGGACCATCAATCTTGCCCGACAAGAGAAGTCGAGTGGAGTCATCCTCGGACCACGACTTGACCTCGATAATAACTTCTTCTGCTGACAGATCTTGATAACCAAAACTCTTGTGATTTTTAGCAGAAACCTTAAGCACAACCTGGAAAGGGGACCTACAAATTCCAACCTCCTGGATCTCCTCATCTTTCCCTTTTGCTTTGGTATCATAATTTACCACTAAAACTGGATCAAGCAGAGTAATTTCAGCAAATTCAGCCCCCCTCTCACTGAATTCTGGCAAAATTACTTCCACCTCTTCAATGATACATTTCCCATGGCCTGTTTGCAAGGGAAGAAAAGGCCACGTTACACATCACACCACGATGATTTCGACTAATCTTAAACTTACTTGATACATGAGAGAAGGAAAAAGAAACAAAACGTAACAAAAACAAAAATTATTCTTCAAGGAGGTCACCAATCAAACAATCAAAAAAATAAGCGACAACAAAAATCATGACCAAGAGTAACCTGAAGTATTCTTGAACCGCCCATTTGTGGGAGTTGTTTCCGGCACGGCCTGGTCCTTCCCGATTAAAACGTCAGGTAGTTCTTCTGCATCCTCAAGAACTGCAGCCAGCTCACCTCTCTCCTCATTCTGCACAAGTTGGTCGGTAACCTCTCCATTGGTTGGAACAGTGGATCCGCTAGGTCTAGAGGGCTTGGCTTGCTTCCGCCTCGCCATGCGAATACACCACTCTTAAAAGCCCTTTAAATCAAACGCACAACACACACACAGAGAAAATGTGACTGACATACAGCATCGGAATTAACGATTATAAGGATCTATTTCCCGATATGACACATACCAGCAGGAAGCACCAATAAAAAATCGAAAAGATTTATTAAACAAAAATTACTTAATTAATTAATTAATAGAATCTTAATCTAGAGCAATTTGCATGCGCAAAATCTACAAGTACTAACGCTTCAAACAGTCGAATGTGGCCCTTCGCGGAATTAAACTTTCAAAGAACGATACAAACCAAATGAAGAACCCGGAATTGAAAGCTGGAGACATCTACAAACACATTGGCATCAAAACTCCGACTCTTAAACCCTAATCAGCAATTCATTCAACGAGAAGAGAGCCAAAACTCGTCCCCAGGAGAAAAACCGTCGCTGTAGCTTTACAATGAACACCAACTCTCGGGCCACAAAACATGCAACATTATGGAGCCAAAAAAATAATTTGCTGCAATTATCCTACCGAAGACATGATCTAAATCGTCTCAATTTGGAACCGCTAACTAACCAGCAAATTGTCGACACATCACCGCAAATTAAATAGCGCCGACATTCAACGATCGTCAACACACCATCATAAATTTACTCAGAATACAAAAAATCGACACAATTTAAGTGCACGTAAGAATTCAGAGAATACCTGCTGAAGCTGACTGCCCGCTTTGAACGAGATCAACACATTGATTACACCGAAACAAGACGGCAAACCACACACCACTAGTATCGAATTCCACTGCAGGAAAATTCGAGATTGAGAAACGCACGCTGCAGGGGCAAATCGACGTGGTGTAGCGGATAAAAAAACAAGACGAATTCAGCGGAACATAGAATTTGTGAGACAGGAAATCGGAGTCTGAGACAGCAAATTCACGGCCGCGAGAAATCGAGAGCACGAAACCCCGCCAATTACAGAGCCCGAGAGAAACCCTGCGCAACTGGGATTATGGATGAATGAATGAACGGACGAATAGACCTCTCTGTCCATAAATGAATGTATGAATGAAATAAATTTATGGATGGATGCTTACATGAAATGAGTGGATGACATTCATCTTCTCTGTATGGAGTGGCGCCAATTGAGGGGTTATTGGGTTTCTTTGTGAAATCTTTTATCTCTTTCTTTACATTTGTATGTTTAGATGTGTGTTTCTTTTGGAATTATGTATGTATGTATGTATGTATGTATGATCAACACATTTTATTATAATCAATTACAAAAACCTAATAGTGTAGATAATTATGATTTGGGAACAATCTCCAAAAAATAAATTTAAAATAAATTAATTGAAAATCTATAAAATATAAAAGTAGAACTTATTTAAAGTGATTACATTTTAATTATTTGGTTAGATTTGTTAAAGAGGTTGGTACCAAATATTGTGTGTTTGACTGAACCACCTTTTAAAGACTTGGTTGGATTTGATTTGACCTAAGTTTGTTAAGTATATCAATCCCATGCTTGTTATACAAAGATAAAAATCTAAGTTTTTTGAAAGTTTTTTTTTATAAGCATCAAACAACTATAGTCTGGAAATGCACAAAGGCTATTGACTTTAGAAAATCTTAATGTTGTAAATTATTACAAAAATTTCTTTTAAATACACCAAAAATCTCAATGGTAAAAAAAAAAAAAAAAAAAAAAAAAAAAAAACGACTTTTAGTTTATATTACAATACATGCATTGCAATTATATGCTCTTTGAAGTTTAAAATTTATTCCTTTTTTACTTGTTATGATTTATTTTCAATTTCAAAATTTACATACAAATAAATAGATTAATGCTAAAGAAATAATTCTATCATCCACAATAGTTTACAAATATAAGATGATAATTTTGTCTTATTTATGATTGTAACTTAATCAAATATATAATATAATATTGATGTTTAATATATTTTTAATACATGTATGTTAGAAAACAAACCATTATTACAAATTTTATATTAACCAATAAAATATTATCAAAGAAAAAAATGATAAAAAACTTTTGTACTTATATATCATAATTCTTTCCTAAATCTATCTGATACAATGTATAAATTCACAACAAATTTATACCAAATTATCTATACTATTTTCAAATCACTATTTAATCCTTTAAATCTTTAATCAAGAAAATTTTCTTCCACTACACATTATTTAATACATCATCTAAAACAAAATCCAATATCCATTTTATAGCATCCTTTTTTATAGCATGATCAAAATCTTAACAAGCACACACACACATGAATATCTACATTCTATGTAATAAGCAACCCACATTACAACAATGTGATTAAAGAAAAAACCATTCAAAAAAGAAAAAAGAAAAACTTTACAAAAACAACCCTAACCTCCTCATGACAAATCCCTCTCTTACATCCGTTCAAGTATGACCAAAATCACTTCCTTCTTATCTCTTAAAACAAACAAAATATTCATATGAGCATTTGACCATTCTACTATGCCACTCTTGAACTTAATAATCTTCATGAATGGTGTCAAAACCATCGTTCTAAGCGACAGAAATGATGTACTGCGCGTCATAGCCTGATTATGCAAGCCATTACTTACTTAAAGTTAAATAAATCAAAAATAAAAAAATAATAATGAGAGGACCAATGAAACCCCAGAATTATTGGCATCACCACTGATCGCTAAGGGTTGTGGGTGTAGTTGCTTGCGCAGGCACAAGCTTTGTAGTCTCCTCGTGCATCCAGTGCAAAGCTTGGCTCTTCGACGAAGTGGGTATTAACCTCCCTGAAATCTTTCAAAACCTTTCTCAACCATCTAGAAATGTGTTCCACGTCGATTCCGACGTCTTGATCCTTGTAGAAAGTGAAGCATTGGCCGATGTCGGCCGTGTTGGGACAGTCAGGTTGGTGAATATCACGCCAGTATCCTTCGTGAATCAGGCCATTCCATCGTGCAAGTTGCCGATATATGAATTGGCCATGCCCTGCGAACTCTAGCCATCCTTTGGGGAACATTTCCATGAGCCGCCCGCCTGGACTCATGAAGATCATGTTCGTCAGCTGCGCGCCGTGCACCGACACCAGAATGTCTGTCTCCATCATGAGCTTGACCTAAAAATGCCATTTTTGTGGTTGCAGACATGCATCGTTAGTTTTGGTAGACGAAACAGTCTCGTGAAGATGGACTATAGCAGCGAAGATTGGGTGTTAGAATGGAAAATGGCCTTTTACCTGTTCACAGAATGTCATGTTTGAGACGTACATGGTGACCCACCTACAGCCTTCCACCTTGGCACATTGTTCCGCAATGACCTTCTCCCATGCTTTCTTGTCCTTCCACTGCCGCGCGCCGTTTCTTACCATCAGTGTGATGGTGGTAGATTGTCTGTCGGTGGATGGCCTAGTAGGGGAGAGCTTGCAGTAAACACGAACCCGACACCGAGCTTGACTGTAAATTTCCTGAAATAACTCCGTAGGGACACCGCCGAGTCCAAGGCGTGACACGATCGCTCTCTTGAAGCAAATCGGACGGTCTCCTATTGACATCTGCTCCGGCACAGCAGGTAATCCAGCTGCAGAAAACACCTGTAGTCGCACATAAGTTTTATGAAGCGATTTTTCACCACATACTCAGACTTATCAAACATCTGTGAGCTCAAAAATTATCTGAGAAGTCCTCGACTCGGTGTCGTTCAATGTAAATAATATAGATCCTTCACAATTTCAGCCTTGGAGCGTATCGTGATTGATTGCCCAGTTCTCGCTGTGGCCCGTCTTTAGAGTTTGACCTCATTCATTAAATAGTGGTAGGCTATGGGATCTACAGACATCTAGTGGTGAACCTTTCAGCGAGGACGTAACATACCTGAGTAATCCAGTTGCCCATTTCTCTCCGCAGTTCGCTTTGATGAAACAGCATGAGTCTGTCTGCGTCGGTGCAGTTGTTCTTAAACTTCCAGTAAAGAAATTGGAACATATTGTACATGGAATGCCACGGATTGCCGTAGTCATACTCTGTCTCAGTGATGAGAGTGGTGCCATTTAGGAGGACATGGTCTATCGGAAAAGACTCCTCCCATGCAAACATATAGGAGTTTTCAGTCCCATTCCTTGTGCTGTTACCCTTGAAGCACAGATGTCGTCCATTCGACACGACGGATGGGAACTCAAACAATTCCGGAGGGCCTTGGACCATATCTCTGCTTATGATCTCTGATATGAATCCTCGGATGCTAAACTTTGACAAATCCTTCAAAGGTTTCCACGGAGCCGAGTCAGTGAGGTGTTTCGCAATTTGCAAGGTTAGGATCCTCAACTTCTTGTTCTCCTGTTCTAATTTGTCAATCCTCTTCAAGATCTGCTCGTCTGTATCTCTAGTTTCGCCCATTTTCTGCTGTGCCATGCCCTCCAATCGTTGAACCAGCTCTAATGCGTGTTTGAACATATCCTGGGTTTTATTAACTCGGCTGACGAGCTCGTCTTGCATAAGCTTCAGGCTAGAGTTCACGGCAACCGAGGCCTGGACTTCTTCCAGCCTTTTGTCACCCTGAAGATTTTCCGACGCAAAACTGGCATGGTGAATGGCGTATCTGTGCCAAAACCCCATAAATATCACCGACACGGCAACCATTACGAGCAGAGAGTGAGGCAGTCTTCGTTTGCATACTACTGGAAGCGCAGAGGTATGGCTTTTTTCCTTCATAGCTGCTCCTGGAAACGCAGGGCAGAGAAGCTTATTTACTATCCTACGCGACTGACTCCTAATCATGAGCAATCCATGTTTCTGTTTAAGGTTTTTAACAGGAATCCAATCCTGAAGTGGAAAGACCCGAGATTGTTTGTTTAATCCTTCTTGATGGCATGTGATAAGTCTGCAAGGAACTCTAGAACCATACAAGAGATAAGGATAGGCCAGTTTATTTCAACAAAATCCCCTTCAATTGCTAACTGCAAAAATTTAGAATAGATGATGTCTTCCTTAGATATCAATGACAGAAGGCCTGAAGTGGAATCGAAATCTTTACCCGCTTAGAAAATTGGTTCTCGAACGCTTGCCACCACACAGTATCCGCCTGTTGTGTCTAATAAAGATTGTTCACAGAAATTTCAGTCCCAAACAGCAACATACAACGACTACCGGTTCCTGCCACAATCAAGTATCTCCAAACAAAGCCTTTTCGTTTTAGCCTCAGATCTTGTATGCTGTAGGATATTAACTGCTCTATGAAACGAAATGGAGTCGTCACGGAAGGAGAGAAGGAGAACTGAGGCCGGGGTGAGAAGCAGGGTGGAGGCAAATCTTGGTCAGTTATGTAATCGATTTGTGAATGGAGCGATTCTGAAATGAAACAAACATGTATCGTGCAGTTTGCAGGCCTATCTCTGGTGCAGGAATGGTAGCGTTTTTAGTTCAACTTACAAGTCGTTTGTTTTTCGCCGATCGATTGTGACCATGCTACGTGTGATGACTTTAACGTCTTCGTCAACAGGGGCCTGAAGATGCCTTTCAAATTGGGAGCCGCCTCAGTACTGTTTCCCAGACCTTGAGTTTATCGCAAATCATGCGTCCCCGTGGGTGCCTTCAACACATGTAGGCCGTGGTTAGAGATATTTGACTAAATTCATCACAGATTGTCCTGGAATACCTTGTTAATTATAACAGAGAAATGCGACTACGTGACATGAAGAGTTCGAACTGAAACGCATGAAAAAACGGGGATTTATCAATGATGATGCCATGTTCATAGAAACGTCAGTGACGCGCTGTAATGGTTCTGTTACGCAAGATAACAGTGTTCAGTTCAAACCCATTTTAGTATATATATGTATATATGTTTTTATTTCTTTAGCGAGCTGAAAGGACTTGCGACTGCGCCTGCGAAAGAATTAAACTGGTAACTGAGAATTACGGAATGATGTAATGCTGAACACTTTCGAGTAAAATCTCTAGTAGTAGATAAACTTCGGGCAAGACAATATGGAAAAGTCTATCAATCAGAGAGGAAAGTTTTAAAAAACAGGGAAAAATGAAGTGCAAGTCTATGGTCGGTAAAGCAGAGAAAATAGGAATAGTTAGAGAAACAATAGGATAATGCTTATTGAGGCGAAAAAACGTAAAATAAGAAAAGCAACTGACGAACTATAACACCCGATGTCAGAGAGGTCTGCAAAGGGCGCAGAACTGGAATCTATTTTCACAAACAATTCTCTACGCCAACTTATCCAAGTGGAATTCGAATCGTACCACTGGCTTCACTCCCTCTCTTTGGGTCTGAAAATAATAATAATTTCACAATTATTGTGTAAAAACATCTAATCCTGTCGAAGACTACCAATATTCTGGCCAAATAGTGTATCCTAATACAGGCTAACTACAAGACTCACGTTCCGTAAGCTCATGAAGATGACCCACCAAAGGGCACGTCCATCACACGGCAAACATTTCAGATCATGCATATCTTTAGACCATAATAGAAAAGAAGAGAATGCACTTTCCGGCGCTTGCACTGTGCACTAGCGATGGAGCAATAGCCAGTGGATTGGTCGCTTCAGAAATGGTCTCTAATCTTCCAAGAACAACTTCTTTCGTATCCTTGCGAATGCACTGGACTTCGCCGCACGGTGGGGATATTGCCCATAGCTTGGAAGTGCAGAAGTCGGATGTCCAGACTGAATGGCAGCTTTGCGTATATGTGCTACAGCCTGCGCGTCTTGATCAAGGCATCCACCTAGAGACAAAGGAGACCATTAGTACAGAGAGGTGGATAATTTGCGACGATCCTACTAGTTAGAAAGTTTGAAACGAGTTGTGTGATGATTTGAGTGCAAAGCGTGAGTGCAACAATGATCAACCTGGAAGAGAGAGACGATGGGACTTGGCAGGAGCAGATTGAGGAGTGAGCCTGGAATACTTGAAGGATGACCGTTGCTTCACTTTAGGGCGAGGTGAGTCCTCCTCCAAGCTGCTGCTTGTTCCTGCCTCTGAAGTTGATGTGTGGTCTTGACTTTGAGTAAAGATGGACTCTCTGTCAGAATGCTCATGATCTGCTTCTACTCGAAGTTTCAGCCGGGCTGCAGAGATGAATGTCTAGTCAATTAGAGGATTCATGTCCCAATCTCAAGTATTAAGCCAGTATGATCAATGCAGTTAAGCCACCTTTACCAGTTCTAAATTAGAATTCAACTTTTCTTCATTAGATTAACTTGAGGTGAAGTAACTATCATGCAAGGCAAAGTTGATTGACCAGAAGGTTGATTATCATAGATCTGCGATATGAGTTTGGAGATAGTCGCATCATCCTCCGCGTCCTTAACTGCCACACCGCGTCACACTCAACTTGATCAGGAAACCATTGTAAAGGGTGGATATAATACTTTCTGGGCACAATCGGACGTATTAAGACTCAATCGATGAATGATTATGTAAGGGAAATGAACTTACGTTGATTGTAAAACATGGTCCTTCCAACGCATCCCAACCACTCAACTAATAAGTTCGACATTTTCGTGTCTCGCATAGATGCAAAATCAAGATTTTCGGTGTCCAGAAGAATTCCAGCGAGCTGTCAAGATAACCAAAATGAATAAATACACAAAGAAAGAAAGGTGAACAAGAAACTAATGTTACAGGCCTGATGAAGACAATCCCAGAATCGAAAATCGAGAAGCGAGAGAAGCTCTCCGTAAGTGGGCACTTAAACATTTAACATAACAACCGACTGACACACATCATACTGCAACAGAAAACAGACAAAAGAAAAAGGAGACGGAAGAAATGATTTCTTACCATGAATGCTTTCAAGTATCGAGGCTGCAATAATCCTCGGTGTCCGGATAGGAGCATCTCCATTAGAAGCGTGCATACTGAACCTACCTGAATAAAACATTTAAAAAAAAAAAAAAAAAAAAAATGGATACGGACGTGAGATCTGCTGGGAATCTCTTCAGAATCATCAAGAAGCATTTTGAACCCACACAAATAATTCGAGTGCCGATCTCTGAAGGACAGATAGAAACCATGCTATGTAAAAGAAGTGACCACCCGAAGTAGTGGAAGACCTTAAAATAATTACCTCATTTCTTGTCACCAGCACGTCTTGTCCTATTATGGACATCTTGATACGTCCTGCACCCACCAAGGTTGACAACTCTATCTGCATGGGGGGATCAAAAGCAGACATGCTCAGAATGGGCCAAACAAGAGGGCTAGATGATGCCAGCATTCTCCAAAAATAAAGCAACTTTGTGCTGGATCGAAACCGTCAAGCAAATCACGCGACCGAAGACGATTGAGAATGTATCACAGCAGCAATTATGCAACGTTCCCAGACTTCGAATTTGTCATCAAGTTCCCATGATTTGACAGCGACCAGACCAATACTAAGATGTGAAAAAGGCATGGCAAGAAAAATCAGCGAATGAGGGAGCAGACTCAATTGATGGACTTGAACATACATCATCAGCGAAGAGTAAAGCCCCAGCATCAATTCCACACGCATCGAACAACCAAGCTGCGTCTTTATGCTTGTGCATTTGCTGCCTTGGCATGTCAATCATCGGGACTGGATGCCATGTGTCGCCACTGATCTTGGGAAACGAATTCTCCTGTAACCACGTATACCCGAGTGCTGCTACTACGGAGCTTAGTTCTGTGGGCCCACCAGAGAAGTTGTTCAGTAGACTGCTCAAGGAAAATTAATTACTGCAGCCGTTTCCACTCTTTTGTAAAGCCATCCGGCTGTATTGAACTAATTCTACGAAATGAGCAAGTACAAACTAAAAAAGAGTGGAGATACAGGAGAGAGGTATACCAAGGTCTCTTCCGGGTATAACGATGCAAAAGCAATCTGAGTTTCCTGCATCTGCACCTCTACGTAGGCGCTCTTTTTGTGTTCTAAGGAACTTATTGAACTGCTGCACTTTAGAGCACTTCAATGAAAACTTAGACGAAGAGGTACAGGCTTCATCATTGATCTCAGTGATTTCTTGTCGGAAGGAAGATGACATGTGACCCTCCCACTCAGCTTCATCAATTGATAACCCGGACTTCCTCAGAAAGATGCTACTCATACCAGGACTTTCAATGCTCCTGAAACTTCCGCAGCTTTTGGTTGGACTTTCAACGCTGCGGAAGCTCCCAAAACAATCCTCGAAGACGTCTGAATCAGCGGAGGCACGCAACACACCTGCACCAGGGTTACTTCTCCTCAGCTCCGTTGAAGGTCCCTGTTCCTGGGATTCGTTTACAACGTTGACCGTAGGGGCAACAAGGAGTTTACGAGGGGGTAGCAGCAGCTCTTGGGCATCACGAGTTGGCAAACGTGGCTGGCTTGGAGTAAATGCTCCATCCGTAGGATTAGATCCTGAGCACAGTGATGCTGTGGAACCTGGATAAAAGCATCCCACGGAAGATGAGGGAACCTAGCATTCTATTATTGGGCCTAACATAACATAACACCACACGAGAAACTGAGACTTTAGTCCCAGAATAAGATACGACGAAAGTTGCTGAAAGTCACAGAATGTATCATGAATTACAATTCTGCCCCTCTTTGTCTGGTAGGGGTCCTTATGAAAACCTAACTTCCCAAATGTACAGATAAAATTTGTACTGAGATGATCGAGATGTGATATCAACACATGTTCTTAAATTCTAGTTTAACTTTGCCAGAAGAATGGCCCATTGAAAGTAGAAATCTCTCTAATACCTGCACCCCAGGATAAACCCCTCCTGTGCTTGGGAACTCTGTCGCAGAATAATTTCTCAGCAGTCCCTCTGCTCGAGAATCGGTCAGACTGCGAGGTAAAAGAATTACGAGCATCACCCATTACAGCTGCAGTTGGAGAACTGTCTCCAGCTTGGTTCGACCTTTGATGCGGCAGAGGTGCCGGACTTGCCTTAGTGCCTCCCTTGACTGTTTTAGATCTAGAATTAGACCCCCACTTCCACTTGAAAGTCCATGGCAAAGAACTTTTCTTCTTTAGAGAAGTCTCGGACGACAAATCGAATTGTTGCTTTCCTGGAACTGAACTTTGAGAAGCTTCGCTGCGATCGACCCTCTCAGCTCCAAATCTGGGAGCAGGATCGACTACTTCGCCTCTGCTTTCCCTGAGCATGGTGTTTCCAAGATCAGGGTCGGTCCAATTCCTGTAGGCAAAGTTAAGTTTCCTTGGCTCTAAGCTTCCAGAAAAATTCCGGTGACGTTCCGATGAATCAGGTGAACCAGAGCCTGTCATGGTGTTTCCTGCTTTGATTGAACTCCTATTGGTTCCTGCACAAACGAATGCAAAGAGTTTACAAATTTCAGAGAAATTTAGAAAGAAAAGCCATATTCACTACACAGTACGGCATGCACGGAATTGATAAATTAAGATATCAGCTGGTTAAATGTACAGTTTCCGAGTGCAATTCAGGTCATTCGTAAACTCATTTAGTCAGTCTAGAACGGTTCTGGAACTGTATTAATAGTGTCTCTGTTGATTAAATTTGAAAGCTCAAAATCACAGAGCTGGAATGGGAACAAGGTGACGATTCATTACCCAACTTCGAGTCATCAGACCCAGCCCGAGATCCTCGCCCTGTGAGTTTCAATCTTCTGAGAAGCCTTGCAGTTCGAGTCTTCCCTGAAGTGTGCCGGGGGGAAGTTGGCAAGGAGCCAGATACATGCGTCCGCGCTTCCACACGGTTCTCATTTCTCCGTGTCACTCCCGACGAATCTCCAGACACCGGATTGAGATTCAACTCATAGGTGTTGTCACTTCGGTTCGCAGACGCCTCCGTGAGCCTTGGTGTTCTCACTTTGATTTGCGGCAGGCTGTTGGTATTACCTGGAAATATTTCCTCCTTGGGAAGAGTCACTTTGTTCAGGTGAACCATCCTATCGCTGCTGTTAGGCGTCCCGACCGCTGTCAACTGTGGAGAAATCTGTTTTTCGGTTTCTTCGAAGTGCTGGCTTCGTGCCATGGAGCGAGATGAGCCGCTGCGCTTCGACGAGCCAACACCTGACCCATCCACGCGCTTGACTGAAGAGTTTGGGTTGCACTTGTCGGGACTGCCAGTGCGAGCTTTCTGAGGGGTCCAAAACTGCTGCCTCTGAAGAACCTCAAGAGAATGCACTCTCGCTGCACCTAGAGGTATACCTTCCCCTAGAAGAAACTCCTGGCTAACAGAGGAGAGAGATACGACATGTGAGGGTGACGCTTCCAATTCAGCTGAAGCCATATCCACTGGCATACGCTTGGTTCGTCTCCGCGATTCACCAATTCGAGATCCGCTGCGTGGATCAGTGATGACGATAGGTGAGCTCCCAGAAGGCTTCGGTGTCTCAATCAGATCAACCGGGGACTTCTCAATGGCTTTTGGTGTTTTATCACCAGTAAGGAGTGCGGTGTCCACCTCTTGTGAAATCTTGCAAGGTGTGCTCTCAGATGGCATTGGTGTCTCCACGCTGGACAGAGGAGGCTTTCCCCAGAGAGGAGACCTGTCCGAATGTTTCATAGATTTCCTTGGAGATGTCTCCATGGACTTCGTGGACTTCAGAGGTGAGCTCTTTCGGGATGAGCTTTTCCAAGGTGATCTCTTTCGAGGAGAACTCTCTGAGGGCATTGGAACCTTTCCGGCAGTGAGAAGTGGACTGCCTGCGATAGGCGATGAATTCTCCACATAGTTAATTGCGTTGCCACATGAGACTTCGGAGGGCTCTGCTGTCTCCGAAGCGGAGGGAGACGATTTACTTGCCGCGAGAGGAAACCACTTGAACGACTTCGGTGAAGATTTAGACGGCTCTTGCGTGTTCTCGCCATATCTTCTGGTGGAAGGGGATCGCTCAAATGGCTCTGACATGGGCTTGAAGGGCTCCTGCACCTTTTCGACATGGTTCCTGATTGAGGAAGATGTCTCTGACGACTTTGGCAGCGAGGTGGAGGGTCCACTCATGCTTTCCACCTTCGTCGTGGTTGGAAAAAAAGGTCCTTCCAACTTTGTGGACACCGATGTGCAGGGCTCTTGTTTCGTGGTCGTGTGGGAGGATTTCTCCCCCGGATCCGGCGGTGCCACGGGGGGTTCATCTTTCGAGGTCTTTGGAGCGGATTCCAAGCCTCCTTGGCTACTTGGGCCTTCACTTACTTTGCTACCCATCCCAATATTCTTCCAGGGCAGTGAAAAGCTAGAAAACGACGTTCCACGCTGGAGCTGTGGCTTCAGCTCTCTCGCTCCTTCACTGATCTCAGCGAACGTAGCAGGCACCTGCATTATGTGATGCATCATCAAAATATTGACATGAAGAAAAGTATGATACAAAAAAAACTGCCAAAATTGTGTTTGAGGAGGATCATCAAACTGACTCGCAAGCCCTCGACATTGACTGACACGGAAGGCTCGAGTACAGGACCCTAGTTAAATACCGTTCTTGTCATGACGACACCATTTGAGATGATTCTAGCATAATTCATCCCGAAAGTGGTTTGAAGCGGAATACACTACAGCTACCTGTGAACCGTTAAAACAGGCATAGAAAACATCAAGGTATGCAAAATATCGCAAATATAGACACACGCGATGGTATCTGGAGACGACCAATAACGACAACCCTGGAATCGTCCCATGCGTTCGTATACATTACGATACTAGTTTTCGGGAGTTCCTAGCTGTTCAGAGAAAAGGAATTGGTGGGTATCACTGAAGACATTGAACTTGTGGTGAAAGACCATAGGTGAACGTTCACGTTTCACAGGGAAGGCTCAAGGGCGAAAACGTTGAGACTTACCTCGTCCATCAAAAACGTGGAAGTCTGCTCAACTGCTGCTGCCCACCAATTGGCAATATCCCTGCCAGATATGCTGCCAATGTTCCTTCCAAAAACGCTGCCACTGTCCTTGCCCATGTCTCGGCTGCTGCGAGTACGCCATGCTAAAGATTTCCCTTTCTCTGCTCCCACAACCTCTGCATCCGATCCCGCCATCACCTCCGCCTATCGTTTCCTCCTAGACAATCGCATCACTTCGTGGCTTGAAACCTAGGCCCGTCGGCCGTTTGCCTCTCCTCCACCTTATTCGCGTTCCCTAACAGCATCTCAAGATTCTTTTGACCTGCCTACAGTTTCACTTGCCTATCTCCAAGTTCATTGTTCTGCTGACAGGCGATTCCCTTACCACCTAAAGATTGACTAATTGAATCATTCTGGAGGAGATTTTACAGCTCCTCCACTAGACTATCATAATCTCGTGCTTGACCTGTATCACCAAGTCACTACATCCTTCAAAACTTGGGCAGATATGAGTTGCAATAGATCCTTTTTCAGAGTCGAAGGGCGACCGAGCTCATTTCAGAATGTAGAGATGCTGAGCCAATCACGAAAAGACGAAACCCGGAGTAATGGCATGCATGGTAGAGATTCAAACTAAGAAAATGGGTTGCTTGTCGACCCAATCGCACTTGAGGCCTATGTCGCAGAGGGAGATACCTGATCACACTCGTTAGTATTGCCGTGAACTCCCTCCGTCATGTCTCCAAGGCAGCACAAAAAATCCCATCGCATTCAAGGCAGAGCACGCACTCCTCACACGATCAGAGCGCACTACCAGCCCCTTTGCGTGTCAATTCGCCCAGAAATGTGATCTCCATGAAGAGACCAAACACAGTTCACCTAACTCCGCACAGTGAAAAGGCGGGCATATACTCTACCTCTCGATAGCAAACAGGCCAGCGCCCCAAACAAAACCCACTCCCATCACGAGCAAACCTCCGTCAGACAACACATGAAGATGTGCTCGAACTATAATCTGCCCAAAAAGACATTCACAGCTCACAAAGCAGCTGCGTCGAATCCAGCTCAATGCAGCAACGACCCACACGAATCCTTCCAACTCCCGTCCACTTTCTCACTCTCTATCTCTCTTTCACTCACACATCCTCTCCCCGACCTTCACACAGATGAATTACCCCTGAGAAACAAAATCTCAACCCCTCAAAACTCCGCCAAAACATCTTCAAAGGCCAACCGCATCGCATCTGTGTTGACCACCCGCAACTGACGCTCCCGCTACTCCACCTCCTCTCTCTCACATCCACCTCTCTATTTCATCCCATCTCATCCCCACTTTCCTTCCCCGAAGCAAGCTGCAACGAGCTGTCCCAAGCCCGAAAATGAGATCTTTGCGTTCCTCGCTGACAGACAGAGGATGAACTCAAGGAGAAACACCAACAGAAAAGCAGGTTCCGAGTCCTGTTCTAACAGTTGGGTGCACCCACATGTCGATAACCAAAGCCGGAAAATTCAAAACCAAACGGCTCTCCCCGCAGATCGGAGACGACCATGGTGAAGCCAGCGTGAACAGTGCTCTACACCAGTGGTAGTGTAGTAGTAGCTGCAACAGTAGTCTAACAAAGTAGCAGTAGTAATGGTATCTGTAGTAGTAGCAGTAATAGTAGTCGGAGTAGGAGTAATAGTAGACAGTTCACCTACGGGGACCTGCGTGCTTTCTTGCCTAGCTAGTTTTCTAGCTCATGTGCAGCGCTGGCGCGATGTGGCAATGTCCTGAGCCCTTGGATTCGGCTAGGTTCACCGTTTTTTTTCCTGCGTCCCCTATTGCGGACCCCTGCTGCTAACTTTCGCGTGCAGCTATGGTGAAAATTCGTTAGTGGATTGCAAGCTGTGAAGGACCCAGCAGCAAGAGGGACGAAGAAAGTCCAGTGGGGAGGCTTGCTGGCCTTGTACTTGGCACGCCTCTCCGATTGCCACATTGAATGCCTTCATGGACTCACTCACTGGCTCACTCATTCCCTCCCTCGCTGCTTTTCCTGACTCACTCCCTGTCCCCATTTGCTTTTGCAGATGTCCTTCTGTTTCTCTTTTGCTTGATGCATGGCCCTTCCTCTCCTTTCTGCTTCTTCCTCTTCTTCTTCTTCTTCTATCCGTTCCCATGAAGTCAAGGTTTGTGTTGTCTGTGTGGCCAGTTCTGGTTGGGGTTGTCATTGCAATCGAATCCTTGGTTGAAATTGTGGGTCAACAACATAGGTTCCTTTGGAAGACTATAAAAAGCACCGTACATGAGTTGATTTTTTTTTGTTTGTGGTGCTTTTGACTCTATGATTGTGTAGGTCTTAAGCTTTTCATGCATAGGTGTGCATGCTCTTGTGACATGTGGCAGGGACTCTGAGATCAACCTTACTGTTCACAGTTAAATCAAACGAAGGGTGAACATGTGCACTGTAGGAATAATAGTAGTAATGAAATTGATGATCCATGATTTTACCACAGTTGAGCATTTGAAAATCAGTTGAAGGCATCAGAGAATCTTTGTTTGGTTTAGGTCAGTTCGAAATGAAGTACAAAATGGAGTTTAGTCTATCAAACAAATAAAACAAAATAAATTTTCTAAAAGTACTCTCAAGTTAAAACACCAGAAGTTACTTGTAGTTACATGATGATAATAATACTAATAATGGTAATACTACTACTATTATTATTTGGCAACTACAATGCTTGTCACACCAAATACCTTCAATATTTTAGTGCAAATCTTAGTGCAAATATTAGATATATGATTGTAAAGTAATCCAATATGGGTTTTAATAAGAGTTGTTGAAAGTGTATGGAATAATAAGAGTTTTTGGTTAAATCCATCTCTATTGTAAGTTAAAGAATATGGAAACATGATATAGAAGTTTACCTACCTTGCAAATGAACAAAGCTTTGGTAGTTTTATAGGACTTTTGGTGATGGAATCAATTGAATGAGTTTTTTTTTTTTTTTTTTTTTTTTTTTTTTGACACAAATAGAGGTACATTTCTATTGCAAGTAATTTAAAAGTTACAAATCCCAACCAGGTTTGATCAAGAATATTAGATATTTACCTATATATTATTTTTGAATATACTAATTAGTCTTTATTATTGCTATTCAAGTATGTTATCTATCCATATTTCCAAGGTTCTATTTGTGCACCATTACTAACAAAAAGTTGAGAATATTCTACAACCTAAAAGAGACTAGGTTTTATGTGCACTTGTGTTTTGATCCAAGAATTCCTTCCGTAATCAACCAATTTCAACCATATTATGTGATATACTTGTTTTTGAGACCACAAGGTTTCATTAAATGTTGCATAATTTTTTTCTACCCAAAGCACCCATATAACTATTCCCTGAAGCAAAATCCAAATTCAACTAATCTACTTGAATCTTCTAGAGATGCAATATACAAAGACGCATTGAATTCACAAAAAGATGAATATTATGAATCTTTGTTTTTGTAGGCAATCAATTAAGGTCTTACCTTGTGATCCATGGCCCTCATCTCATTAGGTATTGTAATTCACATTATCATAGGCTCTTAGTTTGGATACCCTTCTTGTTGTAAGGTTTGAAATAAGAAGGTGGAGGATATATACTTCCTACTTCCATATTCTTATTATTGCTTGGCACTTTCAAAACTGATGGAACATTAAATCTCTTATTTCTATTGCATAGATTGGACAACTTTGTATCAATGCTTTGATCAAAGAGCAATAAAACTATATAAGTTGACTACTTTGATTAATGCATAGATTTGGCAACTTTGATCAATCTTGTTATAAATTCTTTATCATCACAAGTTAATCGCAACTACTCTTTGTCAAGTTAATCAAATCAAATTAGCTTCTTTTTGTATCTTCTTTATGTTCTATATGATCTTCCACTTCAACTTAAACAATGATAACAAAATACCTCCATATTTATAAGTGATTACATTAAAAATGACATATCAATTTTTGAGTATAGAGTGGTCAAGGTGAACTTAGTATTCTATGAATGACATCCCCCCTCCATTGAAACTAGCTAGGATTCCATGTCAGACAATCAATCTGTCTATATTAGAAATAAGTTACTCTCTTGGATTGTCTATTCTTTCTTATTGTGATGTAAATTTTTTTGAATAAGTTGATAAAATAAGTATTGTTGGTATTCTCTAGTATGTCCGCAAAGGATTGGATCCTCCTCCTTTTTGATGAGAGTTCAAAGAGTCAATTTTGCCTCCCTTTGGGTTTATATAAGAAATTTAAAGATGGATCCAAAATTCTATTAGAGTTAATTTTTTTTGATAATTCACCTTAAATTTTTAAATCATACTTAGTGACTTTCATACTTCATCTAAAAAAAAATCAACCTACTCACCTTCTCTAAGCTTATGAGTTACGTTTGGTGAGATTAATTGTCATTGTTCTTGTATCATATTAATTAAGGCTTTCCATTCTCTTTCTTTATGTGACATCAATCCTAAGCAATTTTTACCTTTTGCAAAGCTTAAGAAGTTATCATTTTTTTAAATATTATCATATAGTTTCATGCCATATTTATGTATTTTTATTGCTCTTTGTTGAAAAAATCCAAGTTTGATGCCATTGAGTTCTAGGTTGTACCAAATGCTATAATTAATCCATTCTTCATGACAAGTAGGAGATATGTAAGATATCTCAAGTAGGAGATCTTTTTAAGCTAATATAAAAATATTTCATATCTTTGAATCTTTCTAACTTTGATGTTTAGATTTGGTAAAGAATTCTAAACTTTGTTGCCATCTCCTTCTTGCATAAGGTTGAGATGAACTAAGGTGGTGTCTCAATAAGACATGTAGATTTGAGTCTAATGGTTCCATTGTTTTGATAATTCATTTGACTAGCAAGACAAAAATTGCATTTACTAGATTTATGAGGTTGTTTCTTCTCTCATATATGGATTGATAATATTGTAATCAAGCTATATTATTGTGAGTTCTTTGCATTATACCACCTGCCATGTAATAGCTAAGAAATGATTTAATTTTAGAAATACATCTTTTTGTCCTATCTTAGAAGGAAATGAAAAAAAAAACAATGTAGAAAATTAGACCATATTAACAATTATCTCCCTTCTTATTGCATTGATCATACGTAAGTTTTAATGATTTAATTTTGTATTGATTTTTTATTATAAAAAGGGCTCAAAATCTATTGAGATTAATAAGAGTCCAAATGGTACACTCAGAAGCTTACTTACTTTATCATCTTTAGACCATGATATGCTTAAATTGCTTATCTATAATAGGCATATTTATATATAGTAGCTTTTTTAGTATCTACTTAATTTATGCTAATTCAAAATCAAGTCGGAACTCAAGTAAAATATTTCAAGTATGTAAATAATATGCCTTATATTTTCTTCTTCACCTAACAAAGTCAAAGAAGTATTATTTGCATATTATATCATAATTTGTTGTTGGTAGACTATAGGTAGTTGAATCCGTTTTATTAGTTCTAAGTCTGTTTCTTATATAATCATTGTATTGAGAACCTCTACTACAATAAGAAATAAATATGGAGCAAGTGGATAACCTTGTCTTACTTTTTTTGTTATATGAAAAGATATAAAAAAGGCTCTATTAATCTTTATACATACTTTAGCATCATTAAATAATATACAAACCATATCATTAAATTCTTGAGAGAATTCTATAGATGCTATAGTGAAAAAGAAGAAGTTATAATTAACGATATCATATGCGCTTAAGAAATCAAGTTTTAAGAAGAAAATTGGTTGGCATGATTTCTCTATCCATGTCATAGTTTTATGTATCAATAATATATTCTTAAAAATGAACTGGTTGGATAAAAATGTAGATTGATCCAAGTTAATAATATTTATAAGAATTGATTAAAGTCTAAAAAGTAGTACCTTTGTATATATCTTGTATCTAATATTGAATAATATGTTGGCAACTAATTGGATAGGTCATATCTAATCTCTCTTTTGTAAATCAATGTGATAAGTCCTTGCATCACTTTGGGAGGGAGTTTCCCCTTTAGAATGCTCTCTTGTATCATTACTAAATAATCTTACCCCCTTCACTCTTAAAATATCAAGTAGAACTCTATAATATCATTACTTAAGCCAGAAGATTTATCTTTGTTTGAATCTTACAATGTTGTTGTGAATTTTGCTAAAGTAAGAAGCTTACTCAATTTTATTTTATCCTTAAAGTTAAGTAGGTCTATGACCTTAAATAAAGTTTGGTCACTGGCTCTTCTAAAAGAAGATGAATAAGGTTAGCCTTAGTAGAAGACATGGCTGACGTAGTCAAACACCTTTGGGTGGCTATGCATCTCCCTCCCATCATCCATGAATTTTATAATTTGTGTTACAATCGAGTGCTTTCTATAGACTCAAAAAAATTCACATGAGCATTTATCACCTTCATTCATTTAAGGCCGATTTAAATATATTGTCCAACTATTTTTTAGTATTCTATGTACTTAAG